GACACTCAGTTGAAGGTATACGGTGTTAAGAACTTGAGGGTGTGCGATGCTTCAGTTTTCCCGGAGATCATTTCTGGACATACGGTACGTTTTCTTTTGGTTTTGAGTATTGCTTGCTCTGGGTAGGATCTGACGGCTTGGGTTTAATTTTTAGGCTGGAGCGTGTTTCGCTGTTGCTGAAAAACTTGCCGATATGATGAAGGCCGAATACCAGTGACTGATTTAATTATATCATCTATTGAAAGAAATAGGATTTCTAGGGCACTTCTTTCACGCGTTCGGTCGATTACTGTCTGCCTCTGCGTGCCTCGTAAAGATATCACTTATAGCATAACTTGCGTTTACAGTATCAGCCTGCTTATGAGAGACTGTTGGGGGATAAAGTTTATTCGTTACATTTTGGTTATGCCATATGGTTGGGAGCGTTTCGTAGAATTCACGCCCAAGATCAGTTGTGACACAAATATTTTTAATTTTACAATCTTTTTGCAGTAATATTGCATTCCGTTTTACGAATTGTTAATTCTACAACAAGTGTCCCTCAAAAGAAAAGAAAATAAGATTATTGCGAAAGTCGAAAAGTGTAATGATAAAGTGCAGGCGTAATACTGAAGAAGGTCGAAGATGCTGGTGCACTTGCAATAAAAGCCGTCTTGCTGATGTTGTTGTTGTTGTGGTGGTGGGTGTCGCAATGCCAATGATGTAATGCGGGATGATTGTGATGATGATAATAAATGCCCAAATGCCCTGGAAAAGATAAGAGATCATCAGGATGCAGATGAAATTCGGGGACGTACGATGATGATGCCAAAATGTTACAGGTCCGTCAGAACGCAGTGAGGAATGTTTTTGAAGACATCTCAAGCGACGACGCAGTAGGCATTTCCACCTGATCCGCCGGTATCCTCGTTGGATGGTACGGAAGCCTCGGTCTCTTCAACAGTGGGGGGGGAGGTGAAGAAGTTAGTGATGGTAGTGAAAGCGTCCATTTCAGATGAGGAGAGTGAGGATGAGTTTTAGAAGGTTAGGAGACAGGCGGATTTTTTGAGGGGAGTGGCTGGGCGGCTGAAAGGTTGGTGAAGACCTTGCTGGGCTAAGCGTCGAGTTGTGGGTTCTGTTCTTATACCCCTCCGGTTATACAAAGAGTTCGCAATCCAACAAAGGCTTTTTTGGTTTCTGTCATCAATGGACCTTGCGCATATGAACGCTTTGACCAATCCGACTCGACAGCCTAATTGTTCTAAAAGAGTGCTCTTGCTATATTTGCAAAACACAGGAAGATATTGAATGAGCTAAGCGAAGGAACGAGCAAGACAATAAGGATTAGACAATAAAGGGTCGTCTTCGGAAGTCCTTCCAGATAGCATAACTCCCATCAGCAGGTCGAAAGACAATAACAAAGTTCGGGCAGTTTATCAGCAGCTGAGGAAAACAAAAAGCGTGCTCCGGATTTGGACAGAGTAGGAATGCGTGGGAAGCGTCCCTGGACCTGGGCATGAGGACGACGGGCAAACTCAGTAGAGGGACTGGGTGCAATAGGGCATGGAATGGGGTGCAGATCTTTAGGACTGATCGTGGCAACCTTGTGAGGGCTGAGATGGGGTTGGAGGTCGAACGAGTCGATATTGGACGCTAGTACGACCAGTTAGAGGTTTTTGCGGTTGCCCATGGTAAAGATCCGGGCCAAGATAAAGTTAGAGGCTGTCTGCGAATAAATGGTCTTGCTAGCCAAAGGTGGTTGCTAGAGGAGAGGCATCCCTCCTGCCGATAGATAGGACGGTCCTTATCCTGGAAGCACGGGAGCAGAATTGCCGGACACCGGACGATGTTGAGGAATAAAAGTGCACAAGTTTTGAAAATAAGGACAGGCAATTAATGAGAAGTTATGGAGGAGAAATGCAACGAGCGGAAACGCAGGAAATCGATTTGCTGTGGATAATATAGACGCTGAAGGGACAAAGGGAACGCCAAATGAGGAAAAGATCATTGTGACTGGTTATTAGTAACGCTAAGGGCCGTGACATACTCGGTCAGGTGATGCACGCGTTCGGGGTTGAACTTACGACCGGATTTGGACGGTATCCAACTTGACCATCTCTTGCCACAACCCAACTCAACCAACTTGAGCCATGTTCAAGGGCATCCTCCCACCCAGGCGCGTCCCCTCTGCCGATTTTACAGTCATCACAAACCTTGTCGAGGGTCAGGAAAAGGAGAATCTCCAGCAACCCCAAGTGCCTGCCACAACCAAGAGCAAGCACCGCTCCGTGAGCAAGGGCTTTGGAAAGAAAAAGTCGGTTTCCAAGAAGCCGAAGGACATTGATATGCCGGACACACCTGTGTCTGGTGAAGCATTCGATAAACTCTTGGTGAGCTTAGACTACTCCGTCTAGCATCTGGAGATGCTAATTAGATTTCAGGACGACCTCCAAATCCCGTCTACTCTAAGACCAAAGCTCTATGGAATGGATGCTTCTGTTAAAGCAGCCATGATAAAGTCCTCTCAAACAATGGCTATTGGGCCCACCACCGAATCCCCCCCTGGCAGTCCGCGTTCCAGCAGCCTACGCAAGGCCCACAGTACCGACTCCATGATGAGCAACCCACGACACCCCACCTTGGCTTCACTAAGTGGAGATAGTCCAGAACTTGTTCATCCAGGCTTTTCTCAGCCTCCCGTGTCCGCTCACAATTCCCCATATCTTTCTTCACCACAACGACGGCCCGGCCATGCACGTGGTTTTTCGTTCCATAGCTCCCAATTCTTTTCCAAGAGCCAAGTCAACTTGACAGCAGGCTCTTCCTCTACTGTCGATCTCTCTCATGTCCCCAAGTCTGCTAAGGAAAAGGGGTTAATTGCAGCCAAGAATCTCTCTCCAACCAAGTTTTGCAGTATCCTCACTAGCACATCAAGCACACAATTAGACATTGAAGATTTAAAGAAATTAAGATTGTTGTTACGAAATGAATCTGCCACGTAAGTCAGCTCCTTGTTTCTTTTTCCCAGTTCACTGCTGATGTGCTTCAAGCTGGTCACAGGAATTCTTAAAACTGGGAGGCTACTCCGCCCTTTTGACTAGATTAAACGAGATTCTAGAAGTTGAATGGAGGTATGAAAAGCGCTGCTACTCGAATATCAAAATAACTCATTTTCTTCACAGGGAGGAACAACACGACGATCAAGTCCTCCATGAACTCTTGCGCTGCTTCAAAGCACTCTCAACCTCCTCAATTGGTTGCTTTGCCTTGCGCAGCTCCTGCCCCACCCCCTTCGTTCGGCTCGTGGCCCTGCTCTATTCTGACAAAAAGCCAGGAGAGGTTGCCACCCGCCAACTCATCGTGGAACTCCTGCTTCTCCTTTTCGACCTGTACCCACCTTCATCTCTCCCATCCACTACCAACAGACCAGGCTTCCATAGCTCCTTCCTCTCAGTCGGCAGTGGCAGCGGGTTACGACCACGACAGCCTCAGGCCTGGGAAAGCCAAACCTCTCTCGCCACCTCTAATCTCATTACGCTACCTGCCCCTCACAAGAGCATGTTCTCTCTCATCCGCTCTCTGCTCCTTACCCCTGCTCCTCCACCCGCTGAAGCTCCTGGCGCTCCTGTGTCCCCACATGAGTTTATCGAGTCGTTGCATGTCCCCAGGATATACAAGACTTATCTTCAGGAGTTGTCGGATGTGTGCAGAGATTATTTCTGGGTGTTCTGTCATCCGAATAATACGATTTGGGTACTGTCAGAGACGAACGAGAACAGTGTCGAAAAGCCCAGAGCTCCAGGTGGCATGACGGGTGGTGTAGAGTTTGAAGCTATGGCATATTTTGTAAGTTTTCTTACTTTTTTTTTCTATTTGACGTTCTCTAGTTTCTAATGAATTTTACAATTATAGACGACCCAGCTCAAGCTGGTGAATGCCATTGCAAAATCTGCGGAAGTCTTAAGCATGTCGAAAGACAGCGAACTTTCTGCATATCGATTCCACACGGATCTCTTTCTTTCTGGCTTTGAGCGCATCATTCTCGTAAGCACCCAACTTCTTGACCACTACCAGGCTCTCATCCCCTTGCCTTATTCTTCAGATCTCCCGAAAAGCGTCAACGACTTACTACCCGAACCTGCACCTCGAACTCGCGCGATACATTGCCTATGCCGCACGAGCAGGCTACGAGCTCCCATACACCGTTGCACGTCTCATCGGCCTGCCACCCTCTGCTCACGCCAAGAATCCCGTTCCCAAGAATTCCGCACAGGGCGCTGGACCCCAGGGATCGGGAGGAACTTCGGGTGCATCCACTTCGGGGAGGAACACACCCCGCACGCCTGTTACGCCCTCCAAAAGAAGTAGTGCCATCCTTCCTCCTGGCGGGACAAGCCATGGCATGGGCATGGGCATGCGACTACCCTCTCCACGCAAGGTTGAGTCACTGAAGTTCGATCTTTGATCTGCCTTCTATGGCCCTCTCTTTATTATTATTATCTGGCCTGTGAAGGCTGCGAGGATCAACATTTGCAACTTCTTTTATTCATGACTCACTAACGACCAACACGGACACGGATTTCTTTAAAAAATGACACGACCTTTGATGAGAGAACGGAGGGGGCCGAGGAAAAAACGTAGTGCAAGGAACTACGTAGGCGAATGCTGTATGTATGTACTTTGATGACTTGCTGAAGAGAGAGAGGAAGAAGATTGGAGGTGTACTTTATCTATTTAACCACCCACTACATATTTCTGACGATACGAAACGAAACTCACGAAACAAACAAATCCATGTTCAATTACATACAAGTTGCAATTGCTTTCCATATACTCTTTGTCCTGAATATGTTACATTGACTGAAATTTTGCTTGATATACTACTGTTTGCTTCTTTTCCTGCGAATTCCACTCTATCATCGTGTCGAGTCGTGTGCTGACGTTGTCCTTCAGACGTGAGTGACCTGTAAAATCCGAACAGAAAGTCATCATGATAAATAAGCGCGTTAGGCGCCAAAATATTCGCGTACGGGGAATCGAACCCCGAGCTACCGCGCTGGCTTGAATTGTGTTCAATTTCCAGTGAAAGGCGGTAATGTTAGCCGTTACACCATACACGACTTGGGAAGGTGGTGAGTATAGTCGTCTATGTATCTCAAAAACTACAATCCTTGAGTTAATAAAACTTAAGGACGACTTGCGCTTAAAACTGACAGGTCACAATAAGTCGAAAAAATATCAATTCTAGACATGACATCCATACTCGTTTACGCAGATGTGGGCCCTCCTGCTTCAGCCGAATCATTTAAAGCAAAATTGTTCTCAATGAACTGCCATCGTTTTTGGTCATCGAAAGAGTTGAGAACGACATCTGAACCACCGAGACTGTTCATTCGTGTTCGGATAGCTGATAAAACTGGTCGTGCGTATGACTGCAAGTCGTCAAAGTCACCTGGAGGTAAAACCTTGATGATGTGCTTTGCGAATGCTTTGACTTCTCCTTTGACTCGTGCCTGTGCCGAGAGCTCAAAGCCGTCGTCTAAAGGAAGCCTGCTCTCGAAGGCTGCCATGATTTCGAATGACAGTTGGACATGTGAGTTAGGAGAGTGGTGCGAATCATGGTTGGAAAGGATAAGCTGCATCAGATACCATATTTCTTCTTCAAAGTCTTCCTTCATGTAATCTTGCATTATAAGCTTTCGAATGCACAGCAAGGATTGGGTAACAAGGCCTATAACGCGACAGTAAGTTTCTGTGATAAGCAAACAAAGCAGACGTCAACGAACCTGAAGGTAGGCCCCGCACGTAACGAACAGGCCATCTAATAAAAGGGAGAGAATCTTGTATCTGGACAGAGTCGCCAAGCTCGATGGCGTTCTGAAGACGGGTGTTCAGAATGCGGATGACAGATTCAAGTTGAAATTGGTGAAGCTGAGGAAACACGTAGTTGTTAATATCCAAAAAGAGTGTCGCATTAATTTCCCTGCGTTCTTCTTCCGTTGTGGACTCCAGATATTCGACCATCCTTTTCGAGGTCAGATGCTGCTGGACTTTCTCGCTGATAAGAAAAAGTAGCTGCTTGGAAGCTGCAGAGGGCAGCTCCTTGATGCAATGATACATGGCAAATGCCATATCCACAGTCTCTCCAAGATGTTTGTCAATCCAGGTCAGGCCATGGACAATATCGCCATTGGCTTGATCGGTAGAAGGACGATCCCCGATATGACCATCGCAGAGATCGCCACCACTAAATTGACAGACCACAAGAGGTCAATCAGCCCGATAAAGAACAGTATAAGAGAAGCATAAAGCAATATTGGAAGAGACATCAAGATGTCAGGAACCTTCCAAGCTATCAAGCCTTCGTATCGTAGTTGGCGTAAGGATATAGCATCAAGTGGGGAGTCGCGCTGGAATTCACTGAGCCATTGCATGCATAAAATGCCGACGGAGACGGAGGCAAGGCTGAGAGAAAGGCTCATAAACCAGAACATGTTGACACGGACGTCGGTGGCAAATGGGCTAAACGGGGGGGAAGACGGAAGAAGCATGCTGATAGAATTGTTTCCAGGATTGGCGTTATGAAGTTGGACAAGTATTTGTTCCAAGAGGAAAGGATTAGCATTGTTTGGATCTTGCTGTAGCGACTGGAATGGAAGGATTCGATGACGAAGGGTGTAACAGCTGCAGAAAAAAGGCCGGCCTCAGTACAAGTTTAGATGGATGCGGTGTTTCTCTAGCCTACTGTAAAGTTAGAAATACTTACAAAGACAATCAGGTTGTCGACTTCACTTCTCCAACCATCACACACGTCGTCGTCGTGGTCCTTCACTTTCTTCAAACATTTTTCCCATGGATCACCCTTTTGCGGAACGGGGTATTTGTAAGGTCCACCTGAGAGCCATGGCTCTTGGTGGCCGTCAGATGTGTACCATGCACGAGGAATATGAGTCAAAGCTGGCCACCGGCGGAAATCCGAATTCCCCATCTTTTCTGGGAAAATCGTGGTTCTGCTGGACGCCCGATGAGGCGTCAACAACGAATGGGGACCAAGTGTTTCGTTCTCATCTTCGGGATAGACGTCAAGAGTAGTATGCGCTGCAGGCATGAGAGTACAGCAAGGAAGTACCGCTGCCAATGTCGCCTCAGAGGACTAAATATACCCTTGGCAATTATGCCTTACGGTAGAGGTTCGTCCAAAAACGAAGACACATGAAAAACAACAACAGGGTGCGAGACGTAGTGCAGCTATTTGAAGAATTCTGGAGAAACGGGAGGCGAGTAGAAGAGCTTGGGTGCAGGCGGATTGTAGGAGCAGTGATTCCGCAGGTCTCTCAACCTGTCAATCAATGAAGGTACATGTATTCATCAAGCCAGTATTTGCTACGACTTGCGGAGGAATCATGCCTGGTAAGATATGCGTCGAAGAGCCAGCCAGACCACTAGTGCTTTTCATAGAATGTTTCGTTTGAGATGCCAAAAAAAAGTTAAATGTTTTCTCAGCGGCTGTCGATTTCATTATGCTGCAGGGTCTATAATCGGGGTACTGTACAAAATTACTTGCAATCAACTCAACTCGTGTTTTGAAGAAAATAGACAGTGAGACTGAACGAGTGATGATGAATGGTAACATGCATGTGCTGCGTGCTGATTGAACATTCTGCGGTAGAGAGTTTCCTGGCTGGACAGAGACTCACTCCTTTTGACTTTCACCGAATATTAGACAGGGCCAGCGGGTATTCCGGCAGCAATGCAAGCCAGATGGTACGGCGGTGGTAGGAGACAAGCGGTTCCGTGACGGACTTCCAAGGATATGCGGCGAAGTTTGTCGACAATAGAGATCACCACCATTATTTGGTTCCGACAAAAGACGTACTTTCAGGAAAAGCCAAGAAGTCAGTATACGTAGATGGCACTATTTAGCGATCAGGCATGTATCACTCACCAATTTGTCTAATGACATTATACTTCTTCGATTTGTATGCTTCGCATAACTTGCTTCTAATACAGGGATTCTCAGCTGAAAAAATCAACGAATAACGGGCTGTTCGAATTCCTGGTCCAGCTGATTTTCTTTAGCTTTGGCAATGTCGCGCAGTATCCATCTTGACACTACGCGGCGGCGGAATTCGTGTTTGGTTTTGAAGTAGGGAAATGGTTTCGGGTGAAATGGACAAATGGGTTTCGTTGTCTAGATCAATTTCATCCAAAGATGTATTGGGAGAAAGCGTATAGTCTGGCGGCGATTCAGACATGAAAGGGTTGGTGGTTTCAATTGGGTCACTACTTGATGATCGGCTATCACCGGTTTTCCTTATACGGTTCACACCGAGTTTGACTGACTTGAAATCCAACATTATCGTCAACGATGTTCAAACGTGTTGAGAAACGACGTCGAAAGAAAGAGGAAGAAGAAGAGCTCGGACTTAACGAGGACATGAAGGAGGTTCTGGGAATTCAGGACACCGATTCAGAAGAGTCCGCTTCTGACACTGACTCTGAAGATGAAAATAATTCAGCAGATGAAGCAGGAGAAGAGGACGAGGAAATGGAAGGCATTGGTGGAGACAGTGTAGATGAAGAAGACTACGACGACGAGGATGAAAAAGAAGACCCAATGATTAGCGTCAGCCAAGCGCTTGACGAACCGATATACGTCGTGTCAGTCCTTCCGGAAGTCAAATCCTGCATCGTCTGCCCAGGAAAATTACTCAAGAGCACCAAAATGGTGCAACTTCACCGAACTTCTAATGCATGTACGCTTTCCCTTGTTCATCTCACGTTCTGGAGTTGGCTAAGCTTGAATTCTTACTTACAGGCCCATGAACGACGTTTCAAGCTACTAAAGAAATTGTCTTTGGGTTGCGATCGTGATGAGAGCGCTTGGGAATTGCTAAGACGACACGCTGATGACAAGCAAAAGCTGCCTGAAGTTATAACTTCGAATGTGCCTCCAACTTCAAAACGAGCAGAGAGAAAGGTATATTACGGTCTCGGAATCGTACGAGGACTGTTTTCTGATTCGCTCCAACTTTTTAGAAAGCCCAGCAGGCCCGTCGAAAAATCAAGCGGGAGAAATTCAAAGCAAGGCAAGCGGCTAAGAAAATGGCCGCGACTACTGCCTCAGAATCAAAAACCGAAGCACCTTTCGCAAAAACTCCAAAAGTCTCAGCAGTCTCTAAAACCAACGCATCTAGTAAACCGACAACACCTCCACCCAAAAAGAAACGAAAGGTGCAAGTAGAAGACGATACCAAACCTACCCCAGGTGCAGCAAGTAAAGAAACAGCGGTGGGCACATCTGCGCCAAAGAAGACCGTTTCAAAGACCAAGAAAAACCCTGCCTATGACGTCCATGTATCACCGAATGCCGGCGCTGAGACAGTATCAGAAAAAAAGGAAAGACCTGCGAAAGATATTTCGGTGAAGAGTATTGTGCGGTCAACGACGGACAGAGCAAAGAACGCACGCTCTAAAGCCTTGACAATGTCAAAAAAGTCGAAGTCTTCGACGGTGATGAACCAGAACAAACTGTCTCCGAAAAAAGCGGTCAAAGCTTCATAGGTATACTGTAGTGTCCTGTTACTATCCATATTCCACTCGTTGTTCGAATTTCCAATTTACTTGCACCGCTCCATGGTGCGTAATAGATAGGGTGTTATCTGCAATGCTCCAAGAAGACTAAGCTTAGCGTCGAATCCTTGTCCTGTCCATTCAAGTATATTATTCAAAGAGAGCCCGTAAAAGTCCATCATATAAAATAAAGATAAAGCACGAGAGAAAATGGAAGAAGAGCAGGAGTGTAAGGGTAAAGGAGTGAAAGCAAGAGTCGGAGTTGCCAGAAAATAGTAGTAGAGTAGAACGGAAGAAGAAGCATCAGCATCAGGACAGGCTCTGTAAAACCCCGTCTGTCAGACGAATCACCTGGCAAGATCAATCAAAACCTGGTTCAAAGCTAGGAAGAAAAGCTTACTTCATTAATATCCGGTCGTTCAGTAGGATTCACTCTCAACATGGCATCAATGAGATTCCTCAGCCCTTGTGAATACGCAGACTGGGGATGCTTGTACTGCGCATTTAGCACCGCCATAGCTATTGATCCACCCTGCTCTGTCGTTTG